TAAGATAATAAATTTTAGTTTGATGACAGAAACATGAAATATATTGGATGATAAAGTAATAAATTGATTTCTCTGTATAAAATAAAAATACAGTTTATATCAACATGTATCACTTCAAAACCAGTTTCCACACATTCTCATCAAATCCATAATGTTCAATGTGAAATAAAAGAAAAACAATCTATGAAGCTCTCATAAACTATCTACTATATATGGTAGAATCTGAAAGAAAATATTATTATGAGTAACTGAAATCACTGATGTATTGTTTCCTTAATTTTTGGTAAATGTCTCTTCATAATTTTTCCCCCTTCCAAAAGAGAATGATTCACTTGTTCTATTTTAGAATACCGATTTCATAGAATTCTAACACAGTTATTTTAGGCTATTATAAGAACCCATTATTTATCAGGCAATATGTTAAACACCATGCTAACATAATTAATCTCTGTAGTCTATAAACATGTGTGTTTACAGGAATAAGATGTGGGGTACACCAGAAATACTGCCCCTTGTGGTCTCAGTTTTCAATATCTTAGGTGTATGGAATTATATGATAAATACTTTCTCCTCTGAGAAAGCAGAACAGAATAGGCAAGAATAAATAAAATTTAATGAGATGAAGAGTGGAGGAGAAATAGTCCAGTGAGAAGAGATGAGAATGATAAAGAAAAGAAAATGGAATTAGAAGAAAATCAAAAAAAATAAAGATAACAATTTAGCAAATTAAAAAGAGAAAGAAAGTACATCTGCTGTTAAGACATCATCATGGTATTGATTCCACTCAATGACTCATTCATTTCTGCTGAAGTCCAGGGAAGGAGGTAAACTGAGATGGAGGGAAAAGGAGAGATGAACATTAAGGGGTTACCACACTCTCCATTCATTCTGATTATGTTGGCTTCTCCTTTGAACAATATTCTCCTGTTGTTCTGGGGTTGAAGGAACAAGAGAGTGAGGACAGAGTCCAAAATGAGAGACAAGAGTGAGAGTAAGGGAGACACATAAATGAAGTTAGATGAAGTTTTGAGATAGTCCTTCAATCTGTTCCCTCCTCCCACACTCTCTGCCATCCCTAGCCTTGCTCAACTATGTTTATCATTTTGGAGGAAGCAAAAACCACTAGCTTATAGTACTTATCTTCCATCTCTCACTAATCAATGTAGAATATCCTATTTGCTGCAGTCTATCTTCTTCTTGACTATCCCAACCTGGTTATTTTCCATTCCAGTATCCTTTATAGCCTCATCTATTGAACCATTTCTTGCCATAATGTAGTCGTCAGGTTCCAGAATACCTTTCAAAATAACAGTGAATAAGTTTTAATATTTATACAAAATAAAAGGAAAAATTTCCAAATGTTATTAATAGATTCAACCATCATATATGCCACTCTTTTCAAGTGATATTACTAAGAGACTGTTTTTAGTATGGATAGAATCTTTAGAACCCTTGCACACCAAAAAGAGTATTAACATGAAATTGAACAGATTATAAATATTCCCCAATATTTTTAATAACTATAAGTAGTCTCATCAGCTAAAAAAAAATGTGTTAAAAGTGCATCATGAGGGCAGAGTTGCTGCATCAAACTATGCCGAGGTATCTCCCAGAGAGAGGGATGTAGTGGCAGATGAAGTGGAAAAAATCTTGGGAGATTCCAGCAGCCTTTGAGGAGTTGGATCTTCAATGGTGGGGAAGACATGTAATAAGACTCAGTCTGCTTTGCTTGGATGTTCATGATTTTTTCTTCTTCCTATCTGGCAGCCACAGTTTCTCAGCCATAGAAGTATGTTGGTTTGAAAAACTCAAAAGCCACTTATAATAAAGAATATAGCAACATGAAAAAGGACATAAAACTTCCAGTTTCATTTCAAATAAGAAAATACTTTTTAAAAAGGAGCAAACTAGAAACATAGACATCTAATTAGACATCTTGAAGATATACCATACTAGCAATGTAAAAAAATAGTATTTGAATTTATCTGATTTATTCAACTTTCTCAGACTCTTAGGGAAATATTTAAAATAATTTTTGTATTTATCTCAAGTAAAGAAAAATATCACATTTTATATTTTACATTACTACCTATAGTCATAGGAAATTTTAGAATTACAGAAAAATACTAACTGGGTTAGTATCATCCAAAATTATAAGATTTAACATTGTTCTTTTCATTAATGAGTCTAAATTGGTATGGAACAATACTGGCAATCTCACTATTCTAGTCAATTAATGGATTAGATAATTAATATTAATTATGTATTTCAAATTTATTAGGCCATACTTTAATGTAACTATTATATCATAACCAAACCCTATGGTAATGAATGTAGGGAGAGAAGGGATAATTGCAGACTATAAATAATTTATACTTGTTTCAATTAAGAGAATTTCCATTTCACCACCTCTGTATATTGTCTAATAAGAGATTAAATGCATTGTACAGACCACAATACAGGTAACATCAAGAAAAAGAGAGCAGAGTAGGCTACATTTAGTGAAATGCATCGGTTTTGCCCAAATATGCTTCTACTTGAACACAAAAAAAATCTGGCAACTGATCATATTATTAAAAAAGGCTACTTTCATGAAATTCAACATACTATCCTGTCTCTGTTATATTCCAAAATCAATTTGTTGGCTCTAGCAGCAGTATGCCAAGAAAGAGGATTCGAATTGGTCCAACTGCTGTAGCAGGTAAAAGAGAAGAAAGGAGGTAGGAAAGTTAATTGTTATTGAGCTCCTAATGTGTGCCCGACATTATGATAGGTGTTTTACATATCTTACTTATCTGAGTGAAAGAAGCAGAGTGAGGAAGTGGCAGTAAAGTTAAGTTTCAACCCTATTTCTAATTTCAGTTCAGCTGGCTCGCTAGCCCAGCTACATAAATTCTCACTTCCTTTCTTCTTCTCTTACCCTTGGCCCCACTTAATCTTTCATTGAATCCTGAGATTTACTTACATGCTTGTTAGGATTCTTCCTCTTTTATTGGATAGTTACACAATTTTTGAGTTTTGGGAGGGAGTATAATAAAATTGAAGTAAGAATATGGGTCTTAGAGTCAAAGAGCTTTGAGTTTTGGGTGAGCTGAATAATTATTCTGAGTCTCAATTTCTATATATACCTTATTTGCAGGATTATTGCATAGACTAAATGAAATAAAATATGTAAAATACTTAACATGATGCTTGGCACACTGTAAGAACACAATAAGCGTTAGCTATGGTTATTATCACTAGAAAAAGGTAAACAGATGCACAGTTACCATGACTCACTTAAAGCCATAAGTCAATTTCAGAGCAAGAACTGGAACCAAGTTTCCCCAAACATCATTCTATGTAGTTTTCAATATTTTAGAATATTCCTGTGATGTAAAGAAGCATTTACACATTCTAGGTGTATTTAAATGTCACCAATCCACATAGATTTTATTAGTTTATTTGTAGACTTTTAAAGGCTTTCATATTCATTTCATAAACACCAGTATCTTTGTTCCACAAACAATATCCTTTAAATAATTTTATTTTTATTAGAGACTAATTTCTATCCTCTTACTGACCATCTGGAAATGCATGCTGCAACTACTGAACAGATGTCATGTTTGTTAAGGTCACATGAACATTAGAAGAGGGAAAACCTACTCGTCTACTGAAGCAGCTGCTTTATCCCACTGCCCAAATCCTCATCCTATGGGACAGGAAACTTCAATCAGAAAAACCACTTTGTACAGTTTCTAGTAATCAGAAAAGAAAGCCATCAAAACTGTCACAGTGTGCAAAGGCTTTGTCTACTACCAACACTCCATTATTCAGTGTCAAAGGTGCACCCACGCATTTAATTTTGAAAACGTTTACCAACTTTTGCTTCACTTAGATAATGAACTTGGAGATATCATGGCTTTAATTATCAGAGTTTAGAAGCCTTTCCAAAATACCACAAACTTCTCAAATTATTCAAAACAAAAATTGAAATGTCATTTGCCTTATGATTAGAATCATTGAGAAAAATCAGGCTTTTCACAAATTTTCTTCCATCACTAGGACATGCAAGAGCAAATTTAGTTAAATTGTGTAATAGGAAATAATTACTCACTCTGATGAGTTAGTGAGAAGGAATAGAATACTAATAAAAAATCTGCATTTTTTCAAATGAGTTATGATATTAATAATTCTAGATTATTTTAACTTTTTAAGATAACAAATACACTTTATTTGGCAGAGAGAGTGGAAAAAAGTGAATCAACTGAGACATATAAAATAGTTCAAAATGAAAAGCATATAATGTTCATTTTCTAAATCTAAGATTAAGAAAAATAACCCTTAAAAATCTACAATAGGCACAGAATCCCACTATCACAAAAAATGACAGTGGGATTCTGTGCCTATTGTAGATTTTTAAGGGTAGATAACAAAGGGATTTGTGAGGTTCATAGGGCAAGAACATTTTTTAAAACTAAAACTGCTGTCCTCTTTTAGGAAATAAGAAGCTAATTCAGCTATTAAAAATTTAAAAATTTTAAAAGATCTACATTTAAAATACTCCCCCCAAAACCACCAGATACTTTAATGAACTTTGAGTCAATGTTAGATAAATGGATATATGCTGTTATAAAACATCTACTAGGTAATTCAATAATTTATAAAGTGAAACTTTTAAAAAGTTGTATCAAGAAAAGGTTGAATTTATATACACTGTCACTTTAATTTCTATTCCAAAATTGTTATTCCAGTTCATGGAATATGTACTATTACCTAGTACTTGTCCATATAGAAATGTATATATAACCTCAACCATCACCAATCCTCTTCATGTTCTTTTAAAAAAATGCTTTACATTCCATCAAATAATTAAGAAGAATCAACATTCAGTTATTTTTTTCAAAAGGCTGTTCAATATTTTGTATACAAACAGGAATTTCATTTCATTGGCATTCTTTTAAAGCTTTAGCAAATCAAAATTACTTCCTCCCACTGACTCTTAAGGTAATTATACATACCACAGTCTGATGATTAACTTGAATCACTTCATCGCCAGCATGGATTTTCTTGCACCGATCTGCAGGTGACTGAATTTAATATAAAATAAATGATAAAGAACATAAATTTTATCAGTCATTTCCTGTCTCTGGAAACACTACAAAAAGTTCATCTCCATAAATTAGATTTAAAAATTAATTAAAAATTTCAAGGAATCAAACTAATAAAAATGATTATTAGTATTTAATACACTGCTTTTACCTTCTGAGCCAGTTAAATTAATAAATACAGAAAGAAAAAATTAATAAAAAATAGTTTGCATTCTATGCATAGCTAATGACAACAACCAGAAATGCAAAATAACATACAGATATTTGTTATAAAAGAATAACACGTTTCTGAGAGCATTATGAAAAAATGATAATTGGTATTAACTTTTGTAAACTTTATACAAGCAACTCTCCTAGGTTCTAGTGGGTAACTGCTTCAAAAATGCATTTCAAAAAATTGTATCTTTTTGTATTTTGATCCTTTCCATTTGATATAAATAATTCACATTAACTTCAACAAATCGATATTTTCAAGTACATGAATATGATCAGCATCAAATATTTGAAGTTTGATAATTAAATTGCTAATTTATTTCATCAGTAACACCAATTCTCAATAATCTAGCAAAGCAAATTAAAAGATGGACAGCAATTAGTTCAAATCATATTACATAACATTCTAAGTGTCTACTTATAAGAGGATGCTATTTCTCATGTTACATATAGTGTAATACACTGGACAGTAAAACCACACTCAATAAACTAATATTTCTATAGAATGTAATAATCTAACACTTTTTTCCTTTATTCCTATAAGGGATTAAAAACAAAAACAAACAAAAGAACAACTTGATAAGCTAATATTGACAAGTTTTAAGGAGTTTTTAGGAAATTAAAATGAGATTTAAGATAGAAATTTTATATTGCAGGTCTGAGTAATGAATTTAAAATATTATATTTTTCTTCTGTTAGCTACTAATTATTGATTACATGCATTTTAATATGCTTTTGAACATACACAAAATCTATTTTTATAAAAATGTATTTGTCTAGATAGATGTGCATGTGTTTATCTATCAAACACAACCATAAATGCTGTGATACTCTTCATTATTATCTACTGAAAGCTAAAGAAAAATAATATGGTAATATAATCTGCAAAGTAAAATGCTACTTTTGAGACCCTGGAGTAGGACATACTTTAAAAGTGATTTCCAGTTACTTTTTTATTCATTTCCAATTATTTTTAAAACATATAAGTCTTAAAACAATGTTAACCTCCATTCAACACATTTTTAAAATTCAATAAAAATATTTGTCATAGGCTATAATTCAAGATAAGACAACATACCAGGGAGTTCTAGTTACTGAAGTAATAACACAAGTACATTATTAAGGGGATAGATTAATCTACAATAAAAACTCTAAGAATAGTGTCATAACAATAATATTTTTATCTCACAGCACCTTTAGGAGGTGGACATATTACCAAGTCAGACAAGTACCATGAAACAATTCTGAAAAGACTGTAAATCATTAATATATTTGTAACTATAGTTGGTTCCTGTGGTATTTAGTTCACAACTGATCTTTTTAAAGGAAAGTATAGAAAAAATATCCAGCAAATGGCTCTAGTCATTATGTAGAAGAAAATGATAGTACATAAAATTCAAAGACACTGAAACATTTTGCACAGGTAAGTAAAGAAGTCATATAAATTATAGACTTTTAGTTTTAAAAGACATCCTAGAGATAGAGTTTTGTCCAAATGCCTCAGTTCACATATAAGAAAACTAAGAAACTAGGGCACAGCAAAGCATAATAACTTACCCACTCTAGTGAGCAGCTTTACTAAGACTCAAGACAGATATCCTAATTATAAATGACTGAGGTTACCAAAAATACTTAAATATTTTTAAGAAAAAAAAAAGAATCCAAAGATGAACTATTAATATATGGTTCATATCTGAACTACTCTCGGACTCAATTTTTCTTTTGATCACTTATCTATTCATCAAACATTAGTGAGTAATATGAGCATGACATAGTGCTCAACACATTTTTGCAGACCCCAGACAATATAGAGAGATCCATTCCTACCAATTCTTCAAGACACAGTTCAAAATAACCATTTCTGTGATTCTTTCTCTGATTTCACTTGGCAGCATTTACTATTCTTCCCTTTGTCCATCCATGCAAATTACACCACTGTTTATAAAGATGAACCCCCACATGCTCTCCACACCTTGATGGCACCAAACTAGTTTATTTTAAAATTCTTCCAATACCTAGCACCATGCCTGAAACATAGCAGACATGAAGCAGAGGTCTGTTAAATGAACAAATGAATAAATGAATGAATAAATAAATCAGAACGAACAATCGATGACAAGCATATAGTTTGTAGCATCTTAACTGCATTTAAAATTGTTAAAATCTTCGTAATATGCAAATTACTGATAGTCTTTATCCCTTAAGACTCTCATATTTAATACCAAATGTGAAGCTGCTCCTGCACTCCAACTGCAAATATATATTATGTGTTTCACCTTTCACAAGAAACCAAAAGACGCAGGGAAAAATATCAGTAAGTGATTAAATAGGGGAATTAGATGAAAAGAATGTTGATTTTCAAAAAGCAAATGCTGGTAAAATGTTCAGATCAATAATAATTTGAGATTAAACTAATTCCACCTCAGTCTTCTTTAAAATAGCACAGCATAAGCATGCAATTGTCGGAATCTCTAAAAGAAAAAAAAATTAATACATTCAAAGCTCAGTACCTGCTTATATAATAATAGAATGGAAATCTGAAATAACCAAATGCAAGAATAAAGATATATTATGCTGTTAAACTCTATCACACTGATCATGTTAATAACATCCAGCATGATCACTTCATGCTTCTCTCTCTATAACACAGATAGTTCTCTACAGCATGGCCTTTCTTAGCTTATTTAAGTTTCATTACAACCTAGTGAGGTATGTAGTGCAGATAATTTGTTTCCAATTATAGTCGAAGAAATTGAAGCAATGAGAGGTTAAATGTCTTGCCCAAAATTATACTGCCATTAAGATGCAGAACTGGTTGCAAGACATAGGCCTGTGGACTTCTGACCCACTGCTTATGGTGGTTTGCAAATATGCCTCAGATTCACTTGTTAAAATAGAATCTCTTATTAAGAAATAGGCTGGTCTCTAGAATTTCTGATTTAGTAGGTCTGGGGTAGCGCCTGACAGTTTGCATATATAGTAAGTTCCCAAGGGAGGCTAATACTGGTGTCCAGGAATGTCACTGTGAAAATCACTCAGCTACCATGCTGCCCTTCCACTGAATTAAGCTGAGTTACACTGGAAGTATTCAGAAAACCTGACTTATCTGATATTTATTTCTTACATGAGTTTAGTTTCTTTAAATAACCAAATCATTTGACAGATGGAAATGAATTCTTTCAGATGTCACAATAACTTGTCATGAATCAGAAAATACAAAGACAAATCTCTGGCTGAAAACACCTGATTTACTTTAAGTAAACAGCTATTCTAAACAACAACAAAAAAGTGAAATTTGAACAGAACCAATACGACTAACTCAGTATCTCTTTTAAATTGTATCTACTATCTGTTCATGTCCTTATCCTTAGATGTTAACCTCAATCATGTGAGATACGTAAGTTGTTAGCAATGAAAGGGAAAAACGCACATAAAAATTTGAAAGGTTAAAATACTTACATTTTCTGTGGTTCCAGTAATTACATGGAGGCCATCATATGTAGATTTAATATACATACCCTAAGAAAAAGACAGCATCAGAAAATAAAGTGAAGCAATTAGTGAATTTTCAAGTACATTATAACCTCGTTTATATAAACAATTACTTTATCAAATTAAAACTGCCACGTGCCCCAGAAATAAATCCATGAAGACAGATGCTACCTTTAAACTGATGAGAAATTACTATCTGAACATTCTGGTTTCTAAAGTTTGTCTGAAGAACCCTATACTCAATTAAATAACTACTTGATAAATGAATTGCCTGTGAGACTTATAAAATGCAGCATGGTAATTCAATATTCCTAAGAAAGAACATCTCTCACTCCCCCCAAAAACCCATACTACATATTCTGTGGCAAAATAAAAGTTACAATGGGAAATTAAAATATTGGTATGTTATTAACTTATTATACTTGATATATTATACAATGGAAAGTAGTTTTCTTATGAGACACTTCAATTATAACTGGAGCCAGAAGAGTGATAAAATATAATTTACATAAATTTTCTCCTTCTATTTTGTAGTATCTTGTATTTTCCACCTTTCTTATTGATAAAGTTTTAATAATTACAGCAAATAATCTCTACATCAATAATTAAAAGGTAGTGTGTATCTGTAGCAATCCCTTCCTCCAGTAAAAAGGACAAGATTCTGCTTTCCATTTAAATAGAACCATTTTTAGAAAAAAACTTCATTAAAGTTTAAAAATTATACAGAAATCCTGAAACTGTATAAACTTTAAGAGCAAATGGAAACTTTAAATTATGGATAGTGATGGAACTTTAAAGGGAAAAAATCACAATAAAGGATTCACATTTTTAATATTAAATAATTTAAGTAAACCGGAACAAACTAGATGATTCAGTTAATGAATTTTTGTCCCCTCCAAGGAATATTGTTACTTTAAATTCATTTTTGGGGAAAAACTACCCGAATTTTACCTATAAAAGTGGTTTGCATTTCAAAATACTGACTTCATAAATAAAAATACTAATATTAATTAACTTCAAATCTGAAATATAGATTTAATAACAACAACCAACAATACCATTTCAGAAAAAGCATACATTTAGTACTTATACGAAGCAATTGCTACAATGTTAATTTCCTATACCTTTGTTAGTTATATATTTGGATACCTGAAAATACATCTGTTTTCACTGAAAATAAGAGATTAGAAAAATAAGTAGTAAATTTCGGAACTATTGAGAAATCACTGAGCAGACTTTAATTCTAAAAAGTCATTTCAGTAATATCATATGTCTAAAATGGCTGAGCCTAGATTGCTAATATGAAACAAAATGAATGCTTATCACTTTATATAAAACAAATAACCTTAACAAAAGTACAATCAGAATTTAATTAATGGATTGGCCAGTAGGTTTTGGCTATGACAACATGGTAATATTCAGACTTACACTGGTAACAGGTATATAACATACTTAATTTGAAGCTAACATTCACCCCATCATTTACTGATTGGTAACTATAACGATACTATTTTAGAACTTAGAGGAGGACAAGATCTTTGCAAATATTTTTCATTCAGGAATTAACAAGATTATATCAGATTAATAAAGGATCTTAAAATACAGTCATGACGCATAATGACGTTTTGGTTAATAATGAACTATATATACGATGGTGGTCCCAAATAATTATGTAATGATATTTTTATTATACCTTTCCATTTTTAGATATGTTTAGATACACAGATACTTAACACTGTTACAATTGCCTACAGTATTCAGTACAGTAACATGCTATACAGGTTTGTAGAGTAGGGGCAATAGGCTCTATCATTTAGCCTAGGTTTGTAGTAGGCTGTACTATCTAGATTTGCTAAGTACACTCTATGATGTTCACACAATGATGCAATCGCCTAAGGATGCATTTCTCAGAATGGAATCCCGTCATTAAATGAAACACGACTGCACATTTGTAAGAGCTAGAGGGTACATTTTTTGTGGGTTTTTTTTGTTTGTTTTTTTGAGATGGAGCTTCACTCTTGTCACCCAGGCTGGAGTGCAGTGGCAGGATCTCAGCTCACTGCAACCTCCACCTCCTGGGTTCAAGTGATTCTCCTGCCTCAGCCTCCAGAGTAGCTGGGATTACAGGCACACGCCACCACGCTCAGCTAATTTTTGTATTTTTAGTAAAGACGGGGTTTTACCATCTTGGCCAGGCTGGTCTAGACCTTCTGACCTCAGGTGATCTGCCCACCTCAGTCTCTCACAGTGCTGGGATTATAGACATGAGCCACCATGCCTGGCCAACTTTTAGTTTTTGACATATATGGGTTGTGAGAGGATAAAGAGGAAAAAGTGAACAAAACAACATATACTGTTTGGACACACAAAATAATTATCCATCATTATCTAGCACCATCATTAATATCTACTTGTTACAATGTACCAGGGATTGTTTTAAGTGTCTTGCACTTATTTCACAATAGTCTATGTGGTGGAAACTATCATTATCTCTGTTTTAGAGATAAGGAAACTGAGGCTCAGAGAGGCTAGGGAGTCTGCCCAAGGTGGTGAAGCCAGCTTTCAAGCCCAGGCAGTCTGACTCCAGAGTCCACACTCTCAACCACTGGGCTCCTGATTTATGGATTTATTTACAGTTAGGAGAGTTGTACACCTTAACTTTTCTTATTAGAATATTTGACAACTGTAGATATTAAAGTCGAACATTCACTTTTTAATATCTGTTCTAAAAGACTAAGACCACTTTAGCAAACATGTAGTATGTGAAATGTAGCTAAAAGAATAACTGGGATTGACATTTTACAAATTCATTTCAATTACCCATCTCTCTTTCAGGCAGGATAGGTAGTCAAGGAATTAACATGTGCTTGGAATTTGGCAACTGTGGCGAATGTATGGTTAACACAGTAAGCCCCAGAATTCACATTGTAGTCAAGTTCATTTAAGCACAGCTAGGAAATTTCCCCTGGAGGGAGCATGTGCATTTTGATTTTACCTGTCCTCAAACTAAGCCTTTGCTCATTATAATAGTAAAAAGCACACCCCTGGGTGGAGACTTAATGTAGAGGACTACGTGCTCACAAACAGGGTGTTCCCAATAAGTCCTGCTCTCGCAAACGAAGCAGGGTGTTCCCCATAAGTCCTGCTCTTGCAAACGAAGCAGGGTGTTCCCAATAAGTCCTGCTCTTGCAAACGAAGCAGGGCGTTCACAATAAGTCCTGCTCTTGCAAACGAAGCAGGGCGTTGGGGGCCTGTTTATGTGTAAACATCTTGAAAATCCAGAAAGTCAGGGAAAGGTCAGAAAAACAACAATGTGTCTTGTGACTTGGCAACATTCCACAAACGACTGTATAAAATAAAGCAGAGCGCGCCATTCAAGGCGGCTGCCATGTTTGTCTTGTCTTGTGTTGTCTTGTGTGTTCATTCCTTTGTTTAGGAAACACGCAGACCCCAACATCTGGCGCAGCGAGCAGGGTCCGTGGCTCCACGAGAGCAAGGAACCGGAGGGGGAACACCCCGGGCAGGTAAATAAAGAAAGGGGGACCCACGGGAAAATTATGGGGAATTCCACCTCTCTGGCCTCTGAATATTTGTGGTTACTCCAGGGACTGTTGATGTCTATAGGAGTAGAAGGTAGTTAAGGAACATAAGACTTTGAAGCGATTGTTTGCCCATGTTGAACAACATTGTTATTGGTTTCAATATCAAAACAAAGTGCAGTTAAATCGAAAGGAATGGTTACAAGTGGTTAAAGCCCTGCGTCGAGCTCATCAGCGGGGGCAAACGATGCCTCTGACTTTGTGGACTTTGTGTAGTTCCATTACTCAGGCATTAGAGTTACTTGAAACTGACTCAGAGCATGGCGATACTGCCACAGGAGGTGAGGCATCTGAAGCTTTAGAGAGGAATGATCCTAGAGAGGAACATATTTACGCCCCAGTTGTTGAGGACAAGGAATTGGAAAAAGAGCTAATGCCTCCTTCATCTGAAGGAAATTCTGATTTGCAGCGCATTTTAGAGATGTTACAACAGTTGTTAAAATTGCAAGGTACCGCTGCTCCTGTTTCTCCTATCTCTCCGCCATGAGCCTTCCCTGTTACCTTCCCTTCTGCTCCTTTGAAAAAGGATTTCCCTTTGCCTCCACCTCCAACCTCTTTGCCTATGTCAGGTCAGGTTTTCTCTGTACCTCTTCCTCCTGCAGGAGAAAAGAAGGAATCGAAGGAAAAGGATGATTTTGAGGAATTAGATTTATTCCCAATAACACGGGTTGCTTTCGGCCCCAATGCTCAGTTCCCAAACGGTGGCCAGAATGTGACTTTTACAGTCCTACAATTTAAATTTTTGAAAGAAATGCTAATTATGGACCTCAGTCACAGTTTGTTCTTGGCCTTCTCGATTCCTTCTCTTTAGAACATATGATGATTTCTATTGACTGGGAAACGTTGGGACAGGCTGTCCTTGATCGTTCACAATGGCTTCAATTAAAAAGTTGGTGGTGGGAGGAAGCAAGAGTACAAGCTAGAAAAAATGCTACCCGAAATCCCCCAGGACCTATTGAAGAGCAGCTTACGGGTTCAGGACAATAGGCCACTCTTAATGCTCAGGCAGGCCTAGATGATATTGCTCTCACTTAGATTAAAGCCTTGTTTATAAAAGCGTGGACTAAGGTTGAAATAGCTGGTAAAACTTCTTTACCTTTTGTAAAGATCCTACAAGGAGCCACTGAGCCGTATCCAGATTTTGTAGCCTGTCTTCAAGATGCTGTATTAAAGACTGTAGGTTCAGGCCCTGCTGCTAAAATTCTTTTGGATACTCTGGCTTTTGAGAGTGTTAATCCTGAGTGCCAAAAATTGCTGCGTCCTCTAAAAGCTAGTGGAGCTGATTTAGCTGAATACATTCGGGCTTGTGCAGGTGTTGGAGGAGCTATTTACAATGCTCAGTTGTTTGCTGGGGCACTTTCTAAGGCTTTAAAAGGCAATTCTAAACAAGGTATATGTTATCAATGTGGGAAACCCGGTCATTTTAAG